AAGAATATAAACACACTGGAAAGCAAAATCTTCCCAATGACAAAAGTGACTTCCTTCGAGGCCGAAGGAAATGTGAGGTTGAGTGAGTCTATGTTATTTAACCTTGACAAGCTAAGTTCAGAACTAAAACGAATACATCGATGTTATGCTGAACTAGCCACAAGATCTGGCTTCTTTATGTCTCTGGATCAAGTATGAAGGGAACAGATGTTGAAAACATGCACTCAGGAGATGCTCTATGCTCATGGGAATGATCTAGAACCTGATCTTTTGGCTACAATGTATTAATTTTCAACATTGTTAAGAGTGACAAAGAGTCCTGTGGCACCTTATAGACTAACAGACATATTGGAGCATTAGCTTTCGTGGGTGAATACCCACTTCATCAGACACATGCATCTGACGAAGTGGGTATTCACCCACAAAAGTTTATGCTCCAATACGTCTGTTAGTCTATAAGGTGCCACAGGCCTCTTTGTCGCTTTTTACACATCCAGACAAACACGGCTACCCCTCTGATACTTGACAACATTTTTAAGATATTGTGACATGCAGGATAAGAGTGTTCCTGGAGTCATCACATTTTTGCATGACAAAGCTTGGAGTAATGTTCTCCGGAATGTATTCATTGAGATGAGACTGTATTTGGCTGTACCATTGCCAGCTGTGAAGCAGAGAATTGTTCTGGAAGCTTGCCTAGGTGAAAACCAGTCTTTGGTCAAGTCTGATAGAAAAGGCTTAATGCTCTTGCTGCTCTGATAATCGAATGTAATGTCCTTTGTACACTCTTGTCTGAGCAAATAATAACTGAAATTGTGGCACTTAAAGTTTGCAAGGTGCCAGTTTAAACACGCAGCATTGCAGGACTCAGTGTTTTAGGTTTTAGGTTTGTCCGGCCAGTATACAATCTGTTCATTGTGTTCAATTTCCGTTTAGTCAGTACTATACATGAGGTTGACTTTCACAAATCATATGCTCTTTTGCTTTCATTAATACCCTGTTTACATGAAAGGGGACCTCCAAAAAACATTAGCCCAGGGGTCTCCAATCTCCTTAATTGGGCCCTGCTTAGAAACAATACATCTTTTAGGGGATTTCATCAGCCCTGACCATTTGAGTGTTATCAATCTTTACATATTATTTAGTGATTTGATGGGAGAGCAGGGGCAGAGGGGATCTAGAGTTGGGAACTGATGATGGCTTAGTAAGTTGAAATAATTAATAATAATAAAAATTAATGCTTAAAATTATTAAAAATAACTTAATTTCAAATAATTGTAATGGCTCTATCTGAGAGGGTTATTAATAATAATAAATATGCATGGATATGAACTAGTTGTGTATTAACTATCCCGCTTGGAACCTTAGCGTTACCTCTACCTGTCGAATGGAAGCTCTGACATGCTGGTGAATGTTATTTCCCCGGGGAGCCCCAGGCACTCCTGGGGCGCTGGGTGCATAGACAGCACAGTTCACTGCTCGTAATGATGACCTGGCTGCTTCCAGCACGCAGGGCCAGTGACCCCCGGGCAGCATGACCCCGCCTGGGCAGGGCCGCCATGGGTTAGCCCCAGGGCAGGGTGTTAGTTCTCTCTCACACTCACAGCCTGACTGCGCCTGACCCATCCACGGCCCCTGTGAGGCACGGGATGGGGAATGGGAACTCCCCGCCTCCCCTCCCCGGGTGAGTGAGCCCCGCACCTCGGCATGGGGCTCCCAGGAATTCCCCCCGGGCTGCGGGTGGCTGACCCCGCGGGGATAAAAGCGGCTGCGGGGCGCTGCGGAGGCTCAC